TCAGCCTGACTAGGCAAAGAGTATTCAAATATTTGGTAAACGTCATTTCTAGGTGTGTCTGAGTATATTTCTGAATATGACAGGCATTTGAATAAAACACTGAGTAAACCACATTGTCTTTCCCATGAAGAGTGGACTGAATCTAGTCTCACATTCTGCTAGAACGACAGGATGAGTAACAGAATTCACTCTGTCTGGTCGGACTGTCATGACACCAGGCCATCCTTCCTCTCATACCTTTGGACTTGGACTCAGCGATTGTGACAATGTCAGGTACGTTCAGAACCAGTTACTGTGATGGTAGCTCAGTAAGGACAGTGAGGGCAGAGTCTGTGGATGTGTCCAGAGAGGGGTTTGGGCGCCTCACTGAACTGGTTCTGAAGAGTTCAGGTTTATGATGCTGGGATCAAGCAAATGTGAGTGGTCCAGGAAAAGTAGGAAGGGAAGAATTTAGGCAAGGCATCTGAGCAATACCTCTGGCTTCTGCAGTAGGGAAATTCATACTAAGCAATTGCCAATTTGGTGAGAAGGAGATGCCACAGACTCATGATTTCTAATTTTGGTCAGGACCTCAGGGCCATCAAAAATCTTACATAAACCTAGACAGCTCTTTCATTCTGTTTTTATTGTAAACTATTAGATGTCTCGTCCAGCATAGCCATTCCCCCGTGCCCAACTCTTAAAAGATGGTTTGCCTGCCACATCCCTGAGCCCTTTATTACCAGGTACTTCATTTTCTCCCTTTTTAGTAGCAGCTCCACAACATTGTCTGTGTCCATTCACTTTCTTTCCTGGGACTGAAAAGGAAGGACCTTTCTTCATCTCTAATTTCTTACTTTTTTTTTTTAAACCCAGCATGTCCCACTTCCATAGTCCTTGCTAGAAGTCAACATTCTTTCTCCTCTTTATACCATGGAAGATACCTTTTCCATCTTCATGAATACTGTATAGAACTTCAGACTCTTATATTTTTAGTTGTGAGCCTAGCCTTTAACGGCTAGGCAATGGTGGCGCATGCCTTTAATCCGAGCCCTCGGGAGGCAGAGCCGGGGGATCTCTGTGAGTTCGAGGCCAGCCTGGTCTACAGAGTGAGATCCAGGACAGGCACCAAAACTACACAAAGAAAACCTGCCTCAAAAAACAAACAAACAAAACAAACCCAAAAAACAAACAAAACAAAACAAACAAACAAACAAAAACCTTCAGACTCCTGCAGGCAATGTGAAGGAACCCCTTCCTTCTGTCTCTCCTGCTGATGATATCTTCTTGTTCTTTTCAAACTAATTAAATCAGTGGTTCTCAACCTGAGGGTTGAATGGCCTTTTCACAGGGGTTGCCTAAGACCATCAGAAAATACAACTCTTTACATTCTGATTCATAACAGTAGCAAAATTACAGTTATGGAGTAGCAATGAAAATAACTTTATTGTTGGGGGGGTCACCACAACATGAGGAACTGTATTAAAGGGTCTCAGCATTAGAAAGGTTGAGAACCACCGAATTAGAAAGACTGAAAAACTGATCTTCAGATGTCAATAATTCAGATTTGTGAAGAATGATACCATCAGAAGTAACAATATGTATAAAAACTAGTTTTGAGGTAAGAAGCAGAAAGAATTGGGTACAAAGACTAAGAAGCGAGCTGAAAAAGTCTTGTCATTTCCTCTTTATCATTTTTGGTCTTTTGATGGTTAGGCACAAACACAGAACAAAATAAACCTCATCTTCTTCACATGGTGACACAGAAAGCATCCTCCCTAAAGTCAGGCTACCTGGCATGACAACCCAAAGTGGAGGTCATCGGGTTGTTTTGGGGAAACTAAGCATTTAGAAACGTTCAGTTAAACTGGAACAGGGGGTTTAGGGCACACAGAGAAGGGCATGTTGAGGAGGAACAGCAACAGGAAGGTGTCATCACAGGACGTTTACACTGGTTTGCTAATCGGATGTAAGACATTTGGACTCTATGAAGGGAACTGCATTTTGGATCTCAGTGGAGAAATAGCCGGCCCGAAATTACAAGTAACCATGTCATCTAGCATTTTTGGAATTTTACTGCACATCCAGCTCTTTTCTAAGCATTTTATGTCAAGTATCATGTTCCTATTTCTCACAGTAGGGAAACTAAAGCAGAAAATCCCTCCTAAATGTACACAGCCATGCAATCAGTGACTAAGGAAGAAAAATCAACCATTATATTTTAAGAGCGGCATATTGATGGTATTGTTTGGACCCAAGTGTGGGTGAGTTTTATTGCTTATGTAGTTCTTATCTCAGAATGAATGGAGAATGTGAATTAGGTCTCTCTGAATTCCCTAAATTAGAGGTCTCCAAAGTATATAGCTCATATAAACTCTAGCTTTCATCACAGATAGTGAATGGCCTTTCAACAGGAATCAAAACAATTATACCAAGCTTATACCATTATGGTTTAAATATTAGCCTGTATACAACCAGAGCCAGAGGATTCCTTGAGTCCTGCTTTTTTCAAATGACAAAGTCATGTATTAATATCAGCCTCCACTGAAACATTTTCTATTGTGCAATAGATACTACTGAAAAAACACAATGTACATAAATACATGATCATAAAGCTAATGATGGAAAATTACAAGAGGCTAGTTCCCAAAGTACTTTTGTTGTTACTTTTATTTTGTCTTTCCCTGAATGTTAATGAACACAGTCACTACAAGACTCCAGGGTTATCTCCCAGCACATAGTCAAGGACATCCTCATTAAAGTACCTCTCTTCAAGTTTATCAAAGTTGAGTAAATATACAGTCTTTATTCTCAGGTGTTTTCTGGAAAAAATAAAAGGTTATTCTGGTGGAAAGTGTATGACTTTTTTATCCTTCAAGACCTAACCTTAGAGTTACTTCTCATTAACTAAGTAGCTCATGTACAGGTTACTAATATTCTAAGGCATAATTTCTTAAGAGATTAAGAATTTTCCTGAGACCGAGTCTTTGCCCAGTAATTTTCTTGCAACTCTCCTACTTTGTTCCCTCAGGGGACAGGTTTTTTTCTGGAAGCTGGCTCTCCCCTGCTGCTTTCCTCCATGGTATGTTTGTCTCAGACACAACTCTGGAGAACCTTGTAGAAGTTTGTTGGCCACTCACACTACTCCCTGCGTTGTAGGTTTTAGTGCAGGTGGTAAAGGTGGTGGTGGGTTAAATTGTTAGCTGAGCAGCAGTTCATTTTCTGTGAACACTTTCCCCATCCTGTGCTTCATTTTCTAGACAGCTGTCACACCTGCAGTGTGCTTTACTTGTGATATCAATTACATTTGTTGTGATCCTATCTATGCCTCTCACCTAAACTATAGGCTCTTAGGACCCTGGAATCACCACTAGTCCTTTTTCATCACTAGAACTTGGCAGAACACCCTATGTAGAATATGTGGACCAGCTGCTGAATACCAACTTGTAAAAGGGAAGAGAAAGAATAGGAAAAAACATGTCTTTTCTGTTTGGGTATCTATCATGTTAACTGCTGTCCTCAACACCAATTACATCAAAAACAGCAGCAACAACAGCAACTTCTGGGATTACATTGGTATAAAAGAGAATGTTACACAAGCAACCATTGGCAGTGGGCAATGGTGAGTGTTGGCATGAAAAAAAAAAAGAGTGAGGAAGCAAATCCCAGTGAAAGAATGGGGGTGAGGTGGAGAAGAAGAGGTATTGGCTCTGAAGCTCCAAAGAACGTTCTGGCATGCAAGTATGGCTCTCACAGATTCTCAGCATCTCATCTTCCTGCCATTCTTACTACTGTGAGGTATTTTTTTCTTCCCTCCCCTCCTCACAACCTTCAGATGATTTCTATTGCTGTCTACCACATGGATACTTCTATCTTCTCAGTTTCTTATTGCAACCTTAACAGCCGAAGTTACAAAGAGTTCACTTATAAGCAGGCTTTGGGCTATTTCAATGGCTCTCTTTATGATGGTCTGTTCCAGTGTAGGGCACCAAAGACCTTGGAAACTTTTCTAGAACTTCACCAGTTCTTACTAGGGAAGTTGGCAAAAATGGCCATGATCCATGCTCAGATTTATCAAATCACCCAAAAGTAACGAAGCGGGCAGGCATTCTGTCTTTCCGTTGTTGCTGACGTATCTAGCATCCCATTCACATAAAGGAACAAACAAGCAGCATGTGCCTTGCTGAGTGATTTTCATTCTCTTTTCATATTCCATCCATCCACTTAGGAAGAAATGCAGGCTCTTTCCAGTTGCCCCTCAGGTACTCTAATTGCCAGTTTATAAGACTCCTCGCTTTATCTGGAGTATGAAAACTCTGGCCAGCTTTGCTCTCCGTCTTCCTTGGGATGATGGAAGTCATACCTATCTTCAACATCTACCCCACTTTCCCCATGAAGCCACCCATAGGTCCTGTTTAGAAGAACCGATATCAGTACCAGCGTCATGAATAAGAATCATCCAAGATTTGGATTTCCCTCTGACTCAACTTCCCACTCTTTCTTGTGCCCTTGAAAATACAACGTAAGAACCTCTGCAGACACAGGAAATGGCACAAAGCCCTTCAAGACTATTGGTCTCAATGGCCCAGTGAAGGCAATATCTCTATGGCTTCTATATCTCTGCTTGTCACATACCCTTGTTTCTGAGACCCCCCGTCTCTCTCTCTCGACAGTCAGTCCTGAATGAGGCACGGTAGTATCACCATTTCATATGTTTTCTTGCAGCTATGAGAAAAGGCAGCACTGTGGAAATTTTTGTCAGTATTCTCTCTGTAAAAATGCATTTCAAAATCCCTAATGCAGTTAACATGCTTCCAACCCGAAGTGCAAGTTCCTGACAAGTCTAGTTCATCGCAACAAGGTCTTGACACAGATGGGAGGCAGAACCCGAGGCAGAGAGGCAGTTGTCACAAAACTTCAGCACTGAAACAATGGCCTTAGGGCCTCGGGGAAGAATCTGGATGCTATTATTTAGCATATAATTATTGACTAGTTTGCCATTTCGATTTTCTAACTCACAGCTTGCAGCAGAGGACAACAGCGAAAATGGAAGGGAATGGACAGAAGTTTAGACGTTAAGTAAGGTGGGTGAAAGTGGCAGTTGACAGCCTGCAGGCAGGGAGGAGGGGGAGGGGGGGGGAGGGGGAAGGGGAGGGGGGAGAGCTCACTGCACATTAGCAACATTAAAACATTCCCGTTAGCATAGTACTGACATGGGAGGATGTAATTGTCTAACCTCTCACTGTCATGTTCTTCAATGACATATACATCTTACTAGTTACTCCACTGATTAATTGTGACCCCTTTAACAGTCCAGAACTGTTTAAGCCGTGTTTCAAAGTTTTTTTCTCCTTAGAAATATTATATAATATTTAACAAATACCACGACGTTTCCTTCAGGGAGAAGAAGAAAAATTGTTTTGAGTAATACTGGCATCCTTGTTCTGTTATCCAGAAAACTCACTTACTGGACTCTCAAGCAGCAGCAGATGATTCCAAATGGGACTCCTGCCTCTGTGTATTCTTCCTGAATGAGTGCAAAGAAAACACTCCAAAAGCGACCTGGGCTCTGTCAAAGCACAGGTGTTTGCTGCATGATACAGTCAACTACCTTTGTATGTACTTCTCTGGCTTATGAGCTTCTCTTTTGCTTTAAAATGATTATATACTAGGAAGTTCTTTTATTCTATAGACAGACAAATAAAAAATCATCATAAAGAGGGTATTAATAGGTCTGATATATTATTCACTGTGACAGAAAAATACCCCAAAAGGCCACCAGAGTAGATTCTCCCAACTGTGAATAATATTTTTTATTATAAGTTAAGATAGGAAATATTTTCTAGAGGTTGCACAGACAGACTAAGCCACCGAAATAACATTATTTCAGATAAATGATCAATCCCTCTATGGTCCCTGTGGCTTATTTTAACAGAGCTTTCAGTGGGGGGTATGCCAGAAACTCTGTGATGCATGTAATAGAATCAAGAGCTCCATTACGAACCCAAATTGCAAGCACCTCTGCATCTCTCTGGGCTCACTTTTTTGAGAACGATATACAGCCCTAACGTCCCAAATAATCTGCTGTTGCTCACACAATTATTAGAACACATAATTGAAGTTAAATTTCATATATTGAGCTGACCTGTCCAATAACTTCAGTTTTAGAACCTGATGTATCATCTGAAGGGGTGACCCAAGTTTGAAAATAATCAGTCCAAAGATACCTCTATGCATAGTGACTAAGCTTAAAGTCATTACTATAAAATTATGAACTCAGACCTCGGATTTCTAAAAAGCTTTGTCAATTTCTCCCCAAATTCTAATTATTTGCAAATAATTTTTTTTTTTTGGTTTTTCGAGACAGGGTTTCTCTGTGTAGCTTTGCGCCTTTCCTGGGACTTACTTGGTAGCCTAGGCTAGCCTCGAACTCACAGAGATCTGCCTGGCTCTGCCTCCCGAGTGCTGGGATTAAAGGCGTGCGCCACCACCGCCCGGCGCAAATAATTTTTAAAATGATAGGTTTTAATACATTATGAAACAATCTTTGTAAAAGCAAATTGTGGAAAAGAGAGATGGTGGATGAAGAAACCACATAACAGGAAATTCATAGTTACGGATGATTTGCGGACATTTTCATTTTAATCAGAAGTAATTTCCAAGTTATGGGTGGTGATCAGGCTTGTAATCTCAGTATTTGGGAGGTGGAGGCTAGGGGGGGTCAGGAGGTCAAGGCCACCCTAAGCCCTACAGAGTTAATTCGAATCCATTCTTGGGTACATGATAGTCTGTCTTAGAAAGAAACAACCCAAGTAGTTTGAATGGATTATCTCTTCTCTATGCTATATTCAGCAATATGCATAAAAATTAGCAAACTTGATTTCTAGCTATTATAAGATCTGTACCTAAAAGAAATCAGAGGGATTCAGTGTCAGGTAGTCAGGACAATAAAATAGAAGTGTCTACACAGTTACTTAGAGTATGTGTAGTTGGTAAAGAATGCTCCTTGAGTGACTTCATAAAGGAAGAGGAAATTTTTGAAGATGGTGTTATTAGGAAGATTGGCTGCATACTATGAGTTCTCTTTCTTTCCTCTTCCTCCTCTTCCATCCCTTCCTCCTCCCTATTCTCATTTTTGAAAGACCTGTCAGTTGTGCTTTGTTAAGTTCCAAAGGTTTGCAGTTTTAATAGAGAAGCTGACTGGCAATGTGAGTACAGAAGTTTTCTTTCTCCTTTTATGTTTTAACAAGGAGAGATTTTTTTCCCCCCAATATCAATGTAGTCTCTTTCCCTACTCCTGATTCACTAACGGTGGCAGGGTGATCGCTTGATTGGAGGGATTGGTAGATGACACGAGTCAGGCTTACTCAGCTGCTTCTTTTCTCACCCTTCTTTCTGGTGTTTTATTTCCTGCAGAGAGTCTCAGTTGTGCAGCCAGCTTACCCATGGCTGGGTTGCTCAGTTTGGACAAAGCCTCTGATTTTAGTCTTTTCCACAAATGAACATTGCATTCTTAGGTATCTGTGTTGGCAGCAATTAAGGAGGAATTTGATTCTTCTATTTTACACCTTACTCTACAGCACATCTTGTTCCTGGGGCTGGAGAAATGGCTCAGTGGTTAAGAGAACTTGGTGCTTTTGAACAGGATTTAGGTTTGATTTCACTTAATGGTACCTACATGGTGGCTCACAAACATCTGTAACTCCAGTTCCTAGGGATCTACCATTCTTTTCTGGCCTCCTTGGATAGCAAGTATGCATGTGGTACCTAAACATACATGCAAGTTAAAATTATGTACATTAAAAAAATAAATGAATAAATAAATAAATAAATAAATAAATAAATAAATAAATAAATAAATAAAAGCATTATTCTTTTTTTTTTTTTTTAATTTATTTTAATTTATTTTGCAATACAATTCAGTTCTACATATCAGTCACGGATTCCCTTGTTCTCCCCCCTCCCGTCCCCCTCACCTTCCCCCCAACGCCCCCCCCCCCCCATTTCCCATCTCCTCCAGGGCAAAGCCTTCCCCACAGACTGAGGTCAACCTGGTAGACTCAGTCCAGGTAGGTCTAGTCCCCTCCTCCCAGGCCGAGCCAAACAATCCTGCATAGGCCCCAGGTTTCAAACAGCCAACTCATGCAATGAGCACAAGATCTGGTCCCACTGCCTGGATGCCTCCCAAACAGATCAAGCCAATCAACTGTCTCACCCATTCAGAGGGCCTGATCCAGTTGGGGACCCCTCAGCCATTGGTTCATAGTTCATGTGTTTCCATTCATTTGGCTATTTGTCCCTGTGCTTTATCCAACCTTGGTCTCAACAATTCTCGCTCATATAAACCCTCCTCATTCTCGTTGATTGGACTCCCAGAGATCCACCCAGGGCCTAGTCATGGATCTCTGCATCCAGATCCCTCAGTAGTTGGATGAGGTTTCTAGCACAACGATTAGGGTGTTTGGCCATCCCATCACCAGAGTAGGTCAGTTCAGGCTGTCTCTCGACCATTGCCGGCAGTCTGTTGTGTGGGTATCTTTGTGGATTTCTGTGGGCCTCTCTAGCACTTTGCTTCTTCCTGTTCTCATGTGGTCTTCATTTACCATGGTCTCCTATTCCTTGTTCTCCCTCTCTGTTGTTGATCCAGCTGGGATCTCCCGCTCCCCCAAGCTCTCTTTCCCTCGACCCTCGCCTTTCATTACCCCCACTCATGTCCAGGCTGTTCATGTAAATCTCATTCCATTTCTCTGTCATTGGGCGATCCCTGTGTCTTTCTTGGGGTCCTGTTTTCCGGGTAGCCTCCCGCATTATTCTTTATATGACAATCATGCCCCAGTAATCATTTTGGAAGGAATAAATCTGTGAACTGTGGCATGCAATACTCAGGTCAACAGACAGAAGAATTCTGTCACTCCTTACAATTTCTGTTCTCTTTGTAATCAACAGTTCTTTCTAGTCTAGTTTTCTCTGTTCATAGTTTTGCATTTTTGTAGCCAGAAGGTTTCTCTGGTCCTGCAGTCCCGTGGCCCACTTATAAAATAATCACTCAGAAGCTTATATTAATTATAACTGCTCGGCCATTAGCTCAGGCTTATTACTGACTAGCTCTTATACTTGAATTAACCCAGGATTCTTATTTATGTTTAGCAACGTAGTTTGGCACCTTTTCTCAGTTCTGCTTTATCATCTTGCTTCCTCTTTGTCTATCTGGGAACTCCTCACTCTGTCCTTTCTCTTCCCAGAATTCTCGTTGTCTGCTTACTCCACCTATACTTCCTGCCTGGCTACTGGCCAATCAGCATTTTATTTATCAACCAATCAGAGTAACAGATATTCACAGCGTACAGAAAGACATCCCACAGCACACTTTCCAGAATCTCATAGAACTAAAATCATATAAAAGGAATCATATCATTTTTAAAGCACATTTTCTTTCCCAGCATAATGTATCAGAGAGTCATTCACTTTGGCACACCCTGCTGCTGGGTTTTTGTTTTTGTTGTTGTTGTTCAGTAATATATCTTTGTAAGAGATTATCACAATTTAATGATTCATCAGTTAATGGATATTTGGGTAATTTCTGGACTCTGATGATTATTAATAAAGCTGCTGATAATATTTATATAAATGCTTCTGTGTGACTATAAGCTTTTACCTAAAATAAGTAAGTACCTTCAAGTATAATGACTGGGTTATATTGATAGTTGTATATTAAACTTTACTAGAGTATCAAACCATTTCAAATTGCTAATTTGTATTCTGATATATGCATTCCATTTACTTTGACTACTTCCTGCTACTTTGCAATATTGTATTTACTTTTTAATTAAAAATTTAGCCATTTTAATAAGTATGATCTAGTAACTCATGCTTTTAATTTGCATTTCCCTAATGACTAATAATTTTGGGTATTTTTCATACAATAATTTGATTTGTGTGTATTTTCTTGGATGAAGGATCTGATATACTAGTTTGCTCATTCTTTTATTTTGGTCTTTTAAAATTCCTTTTGAGATTGAAAAAATATTAAATTGTATGACAGTTATGTGCATGTCTGTATATATGTGTTCCACAGAGCCCAGAGGACAATCTTTAGGAATCAGCTCTCTCTTTACATCATGTGGATCCCAGAGACTGAACTCAGGTCTCCAGACTTGGTGGATAGCATCCTCCCTCATTGGAACCCTCTTGTGGGACCAAGCTTGAAGAAATCTTGATATCATCTGGCTGTAGATACTGTATGAAAGATTTGAAAGTATTTATCTTATGTTCTATTATAGTTGCTTCCTTGTTTTTGTTTTTGGAGAAGTACAGACATTTTTCTGTTGATGAAGTTCAGCTCATCTTGGTTTTTAAGATGCATTTTGCTTTCTGGTCTGATTTAAGAAATCGTTGAGGGATTGAAAATGTAGCATGGCCAGGAGAGGCTTGGCACTGATGGTGCCCTGGGTTCCCCAACACAATGGTAAAAAAAAATCAAAGAAGCAAAATTCTGCCTAAAAGTAATAAATATTGTGTCTTATGCTTTCTTCTAGCAGTTTATTTTTAAATTTTAGTTTTTATATTAAGACCATAATTCATTTTGACTTAATTTTTATATGTGAAGAAAGGGCATGGAATTGAGTGTATAGGGAGGTGGGGAGGACCTAGGAGGAGTTGAGGGACCAAAAAGGCATGATCAGACTAATTGCATGAAATGTTTTTCAATAAAAATAAATATATCTTTTTTGACATTGTAGAAATTCAACAAGTGTTATGTCTTAAAGACTGTAATGTACAGATAGTAACAATTCTGAGAATGAAATTTTTGTAGTTTGTTGCATCAAAATCCATCAATGTATCCTGCATATATATATATATATATATATATATATATATATATGTGTGTGTGTGTGTGTGTGTGTGTGTGTGTCAACTCATGATTTCATAAAGACAGACATTGATCATTTGGAAATTGCAAGATCACCAGTCTTGGAAGCTTTCCATGTGTTTTACATGTTGTTAAGAAGCATATTTTTAGTATTTCCAAGAATCTACAATCTGTATCTCTATATTTGGAAGAGCTCAATAACATCATGTGGCTGATAGACATTAAGCCAAAGTTTTAACTTTTGCTTGAAAGTTCAAATGCTATCCCTGGCATCCCATTTGAGTTCACCTTGAAGTGACAGCCATTTTCATTCATTCATATGAAAACGTTTGACAACATCCATGCTTTATCTGTCAGGTGTTTTTTTCCAAGTGAAT